AGGAGCACGTGAAGAGTCCTCCCACCACAACTCCAGCGACTGCCGTTGGTTTATGTTACACATTCTGCGTGTTCGTACCGCATAGTGGGGAACCTCGGGAGGGGAAGTTTGCTCGTGAGCAAGAAGTTAAGCGGCTCTGGTATATATATACATATCTCGTTAACTATTGGATTTAAGATCAATAATTACTAACACATTTTTATTCAGAATTTCATATTCTTTCGAACTCTGTCATAAACAATACGATATTCCATTTAAAAAAACGAAGTTAATCTTCAAACTTTCAGAACACCTCCACATATGAAGAAAGCATAAACATTATGTTATGCCTTCTTCAAAATTATACAACTTCTGTATACAACAATTTTTCAATCAACACACAATTTAGGGGTTCTTTAGGTGCGTGAGTTAGACGGTCCACTCTGTATATGTACACAGATATTATTTCAGTTTCTTAAATTTTTACAATATTCCTCACATAGAAGAAAAATTGGTAATAATAATTAACAGTATACTTTGAAACATATGCACAGATCCATACATAAATTGGTAATTAGTAGTAATTGCTAATACTAGAATAAATTCCAATGAAAAATATTCCTAACATACATATATAGTAATATCTTGTTCGCCGTAAGTTTCCAAATACTGCAAAAAGAAGCATGTTTCCTTTAAAATTTACTCTCTGTTAGCTGGTCGTTTCATATTTTGCTTCTACACTTTATTTAGGTATTTAGAAACTTCTGACGAGTTGCGTGAATATTCCCACGAATAGCGTAAAGTGTTAGTGTAATTATGATTAGCATTCACAGCGTTACAGAGTGCTTGCAATACATGTTCTCCATGTTTTCCTTCAGAATAAACATTTGATATTATTCATTTCTTCTGCACTGTTAATATATCATGTTGTTAATACAATTGTGATACTTTGTATTGCAATCTCGGTAAGAAACGAAACATCAAGGGAGCATGCAAAGCGGGTATTTCAACAGACGGTAATTCGGAAAATGTTGGAAATAATGAAATCGTTATTGTATAATAATAGAAATCATGCGAAGATGGAAGGAACCTAGTGTTCTCTAAACTAATATTCTAAAATCCTACGCTAGTCGAAGTGTGGAAAAAGAGATCAACAATTTCATTTTGTTGTTGACCTTAAGCGCAACGCATATACAGATACTAAACGGCGCAATAATAGAGAGGACTATTATCTAATTACAGAAAAGGGCTCGCATTTGATGAAGTATATATGTACAATATTTCCGCACACGCAAACCAAATTGTGATGACAAACCAGATATGTGCAAAACCAACAGATAAACTTTTGATGAAACCAATAACCCTAT